TATTCACCCCACAGGAGCTTGGGCAAGCACTCACATGCGCCTGGCATGAGTTTAAGCCACCAGGTCTGGGACTCGAACCACGATCCTACGTGGGAGTTCAGCGACATAGCCATTATGTTAACTGCTGGTCCCTAAAAATGCTTTTTCTAAAAATACATTCACATTGCTGAATTCTTGTACCTTTTTTAGTCCTTAAATTTTGAAATATGAACATTTTGCCTGTAATTGTTATAGCTTCTGTAGAGAATAAGAAAGAACTGGGACCAGCAGTTAGCGTAATGGCTATGTCACTGGACTCCCATGACCCGGCGGCTTAATCTCACGCCAGGCGCGTGTGCGTGCGTGCCTAAGATCCCGAGAGGAGAATGGAGGAGAAGGGATTGCGGCGTGGCCATCCCCCCTGGGGGCTGATTTCTCGCTTTCTGTCTCTCTGTCTCTCTCTGTCTGTCTGGTGAGCGCATGCACCCTATAGCAAAAACCTCTCCAAAAAAAAAAAAAAGAAAAAGAAAAAAGAAAGGACTTAAGCGTTGTAAAGATATTTTAATAAAATAATTTATAACCCTCTTTTTTTTCTGGAGAGGTTTTTCGCTATAGGGCACTTGCGCTCGTCAGAAAGACAGAGACAGAAAGATAGAAAGTGAGAAATCACCCCCCAGGGGGGATGGACACGCCGCAAGCCCTTCTCCTCCATTCTCCTCTCGGGATCTTGGGCATGCACACACACATACCTAGCGTGAGTTTAAGCCACCGGGTCCAGGACTCGAACCGCGGTCGACTACATGGGAGTCCAGCGACATAGCCATTACGCTAACTCCTGGTCCCCTTATAACCCTCTTTAAGCACTTGAAAGTAACTGGAGTTCAGTATTTTATGATAATAGTTAATGGGGGGAGAGTGTGATTTCTTGCTTTCTGTCTCTCTGTCTCTCTGTCTGTCTGGTGAGCTCACGCGCCCTATAGCAAAAACCTCTCCAAAAAAAAAAAAGTTCTTTGAATTTTTAAGACTTTCTGTGTCCTGGACATGTTGCTATTTCTGCAGTCACTTGACTACATGATTAATAGAGGAATTTGGAGAGAATATGACAAATGTGACTTCAAGGGTAGTTTGTTACAAAAAGTAGTTTGTTTGAACTGTGTGTACCTTTTTATAGGGAACTTCAAGTTAAATCAGCTGCAAAATTCAGCAGGGAAAAATGAACTGGGTTATTCATCTCTCAAAGGCACAAAGAAATGGAACAGCTCTCTCCTACGTACTCTGTGTGTGTGAAGTCAAGGAGATGGTTTTTCTTACGGTTTAACTTAAATGGACTTATTTGAAAAATGTATCGATATGACAATTTGCTATGCTTTATTTTTCTGCAGGACTCAATTACTGGAATTGTCAACTCTGCCAATTTATGTGCACGTTTCTCTTCCACTATGAGCAGACCGACTGTATCACACATTTGTCTGGCTTTCTATAGTCTTCTAGTTCTCAATTTTGCCACACAATGTCTGGCCTTTCCCAAAGTGGAAAGGAGAGGGGTAGAACATGTTCATGTAGAAGAAGGGCAGTCGGAGAGGATGAGCACAGATGACCTAGAAAGCAGCTCTGCTACTTCAAAGTGGACACCCCAACGGGTAGTCTCAGAAGATCCAATGCTAGTGTCAGCAGGACCATCAGCCACGTCATTAAATAAAGTGTTCTCGATCAACAAAGAAACACATCTTCTAGAAGTTGGATTCATACCATCTAATAGCCCCAGTGTTTACACAGCCACTGAGCCAGTGGTCTTAGCAGGTGAAAAAGTATTCAGTTCTAGCCAACAAGAGGGAGTGTCTCCTGAAAGCAGACTTTCCAAAGCCATATTAACTGTTTCAACAGTGTCTCTAAATATTGATGGAAAAGGGGAACCTTTAAGCAGTACCCATGTTCAGCCCATGGTAGAAAGGACCACAGATGCCACACAAGGTTTTCCAAAGTATGGGGATGATCAACTGTTTGCAACAGAAAGTCAGGAAGGAGTTCGTTTGGGACAGTCATCTTCATCCCATGTGAATACTAAGGAAATGCTAACCACTAATCTGAGGCCTGAGGAATCTGAAGCAGACACAGGCCATCGGACAACTTTGTTTCCTGGTGCGAAGGCCACAGCAGACACTGAGCCTGCAAGCCTCTTGCCTGGTTGGGAGAAACCTTCACAGATGACAGCTGATAATACCCAGGTTACTGCTGCGAAGCACTCACTCACCACTTCCGAGTACCTCCTAAGTGTTGAGCCAGAAACTGACAGCATGTTGGGAGCCCCAGAAATCACAGAGAGTGTGAGCACAGCTGTTCCAGCCGCTTCTATCTTCAGTGATGAGTGGGATGACACCAAAGTAGAGAGTGTAAGCCAGATAAGGAACCCAAAGCTGGGAGATAGTGCAGAAACACAGGTGAGAGTGGAAACATCTCGGACAGCACCAGCAAGCCATGATGGTATGGAAGGGGGCCAACCTTTGACAGAGGCTGCAGAGGTGGCTGTGGGGCTGCCTGAAGAAAAAATACACGTGGGGACACCCCTGCCTATATTGCAGGGGGAGGAGCAATCACCTGCCTTCACCCATCAAAGTTCCTTTGGTCCAACAAGTCTGATGGAAGATTCGAACGTTTCCGTTGTGAACCTGTTTCAAAGTGCAGGAGGTGTCACGGAATCCACAAAGGAAAACGATGCCATATTTTTCTTAGAGACTACTGTTTCTGTCTCAGAATATGAGTCGGAGGCGTATCGACTGTTGGGAAATACATTGAAAGGTAATTGAAAGATTGTTTTTTTAAAAGAGAAGAAAACAAATTTAATTTAAAAAATGTATTAAAATTTTAAATGTAATTTAAAAACAGGTTAAGTTTTAATGAAAAACAAAAACATACAAATAAATCATGTATTTTATTTAAAAATTACACCCAAATATCACCCCTGCATATAAACTAGTGGCCTTCAACTGAAAACAATTTTGCCACTCCCTCCCCACCACACACACACATCTACATCCACCATGGAACATTTAGCAATGTTTGGAGACATTTATAGTTGTTGCAACTGATAGGTGCTACTGGTATCTAGTGAATAGAGGCCAGGGTTGCTGCTAAATATCCACAGTACATAGAACAGCCCCCCACAACAAAGAATTACTTGAGCTGATAAGTCAATAGCATTGAGGTTGAGAAAATCTGATAAAGACTAATATTTTTCAAACATTTTATTATGAAAATGTGTAAATATACACAGAAATGTGAAAGACTTAACCATACATTTAAATAATGTAGGTTACTTATTTACATTGCTGTAAAATACGCTGATGTCCCCAATATATTTTTTTAAAGAATTATTTATTTAACTTTATTTATTCACTCATTTACCTTCAATTTGACCCGAGAGAGACAGAGAGAGAGAAGGTTAGAAAGCAAGCTACCAGGTCCGGGACTTGAACTTCAGTCGGCCACGTGGGAGTGTCCAGTGCCTTAACTAACATACCACCCGCTGGTCTCCCCAATATTTTTTCTTTCTTTCTTTCTTTTTTTTTTTTTTTTTTTAGAGGGTTTTTTTTCAGGGGCACTCACCAGAGAGACAGAGAGACAGAGAGTGAGAAATCACCCCCCCAGAGGGGATGGCCATGCCACAGTCCCTTCTCCTCCATTATCCTCTTGGGATTTTGGGCACGCATGCACATGTGCCTGGCATGAGTTTAAGTCAGTAGGTCCAGGACTTGAACCGTGGTCGACTACATGGGAGTTCAGCAACATAGCCATTACGCTATATTTCTTACAAAAAAAGTTTAAGTATATATTTCCCAGAGTGGAACCAGCAGGTTGTACGGTGGTTAAAATGCTGGACTCCCCCATGGTTGACCATGGTTCAAGTCCCAGACTTGGTGGCCAGATGCTCACACCAGACATGTGTGCGTGCCCAAAACACAAAAGGAGAATGGAGAAGGGATTGTGGCATGGCCATTATCCTGGGGTACAATTTCTCAATTTCCGTCTCTTTCTTTTTCTCTTTCGGGCGAGCACCCATACCCTATAGGAAAAACCTAAAAAAATTCTTATAGTATTAATCATATGAGTTTCCAGCCTTTGTTTTTCTCACCTATGAAAGATCATCTAAAATAAAGGAGGAAAAAGAGAAATTATCTTCTGGTTTGATTTTATATTTTCTTCTCTTGGCCTTTACTTCTGTGACTATTACCAGCTGATAAGCCTTATGTTTGCTGTTGAGGAATTATATTTTTCTTTTTCTTTTTTTTTTGGAGAGGTTTTTGCTATAGGGCGCGTGCACTCGCAGACAGACAGAGACAGAGAGACAGAAAGCAAGATATCACCCCCCGGGGGGATGGCCACGCCGCAATCCCTTCTCCTCCATTCTCCTCTAGGGATCTTGGGCACACACGCACACGCGCCCGGTGTGAGTTTAAGCCACTGGGTCCGGGACTCGAACTGCGGTGGACTACGTGGGAGTCCAGCGACATAGCCATTACGCTAACTGCTGGTCCCAAGGAATTATATTTTTCTTTTATGTGTAGTTGGTCAGGTGAATGTATGAGAGGCAACAGCATGGGGCCAACAAATGGCATAGTGGTTATGTTGCTGGATTCGCAAGAGAATGGAAGAGAAAGTATTGCCCTGTGGTCATCGCCTCCAAGGGGGTGATTTCTCACTTCCCCTATTACTGTCTTTGTCTTTCTCTCCAGCTAGCACATGCACCCTATGATTAAAAACACATGCACCCTATGATTAAAAAAAAAAACGAAGCTTGGACTGGCAGGTGGCCTGGTGATTAAGGCTCTGGACGCTACCATGTGGCCAACCACAGTTTAAGTCTTGGACCTGGTGGCTTACTTTCTCACTTCCTCCTTCTCTCTGTCTTTGTGTCTCTCTCTGGTCAAATTAAAATAAAGATAAAATTGAAATTAAAATAAATATTCTTTTTTAAGAAAAGAAGCAACAGTTTAGTATAACATCATTTTAGATCATTTTGGAAGAACATATACAACATGTTACTTCAGGCAAGTAGCCCAATTAATGGAAAATATCAAGTTAGAAATATGTTTTTTCTTTCCTTATTTTAAAGAGAGATTGTTGCTATAGAGCACATGTGTTTACTAGAGAGACAGAGAGAGACAGAGAGACAGAAAGTGAGAAATCACCCCCTAGGGGGGATGGCAATGCTGCAATCCCTTCTCCTCCTCTTCTCTCAGAATTCTGGACACACACATACATACACACACACACACACATGCGCGTGTGTGTGTGTGCGTCCAGCGTGAGTTTTAAGTTGCTGGGTCCAGGACTTGAACGGTGGCCTACTACATGGGAGTCCAGCGATGTAACCATTAGACCATCTGCTGGTACCTAGAAATATGTTTTTATAAAGTGCTTTTTTTTTTTTCTTGAGAGGTTTTTGCTATAGGGCGCATACGCTCGCCTGAAAGAGACAGAGAGAGACAGAGAGACACAAAGCAAAAATCACCCCCCCCCGGAGGGGGGATGGCCATGCCACAATCCCTTCTCCTTTCTCCTTGGGATCTTGGGCATGCACACACACATGCCTGGTGTGAGTTTAAGCCACTGAGTCCAGGACTCAAACTGTGGTTGACTACATGGGAGTACAGCAACATAGCCATTATGCCAACTACTGGTCCCAAAAGTATTTTAAGATTGAATTACAATGGGAGGCCAACAGGTGGCATGGTGGTTAAGGGTGCTGGACTTCCACATGGTCTACTGCGATTCGAGTCCTGAACCTGGTGACTTGCTTTCTCATTTTCCTTCTCTCTCTGATCAAATTAAAATAATAAATAAAATAAAAAAATCATATTCTGTCTATATCCTTTAGTTCCTAACTGTATAAACAAGTATGCTACTGCGTAACATGAAGAAAATGGGTCTGTGTCATATATAAGAAAAAACATTTTTTTCTTACTAGGTTCTTCAAGGCACTTACTACGGCTAGGAATACAGGTTCCTATTCAATTGACAGTGAACAGCCATGCAGATGATAATTCTACTGCGATTCAAGTCCTGAACCTTGCTTTCTTACTCACACTCTCTCTCTCTCTGTCCCTCTCTGGTCAAATTAAAATAAATAAACAAATGAAGTTAAATAAAATAATTCTTTGATAAAGAGATTGAAGTAAGATGATAGAAGGTCATTTAATAAATGATAAAGGAAAGATGAAAAACTTTTTGAGAGGTTTTTGGTATAGGGCACATGTGCTTGCCAGAAAGACAAAGAGAGACAGAGAGACAGAAAGTGAGAAATTACTGCCCCAGGGGGGATGGCCATGCTGCAATCCCTTCTCCTCCATCCTCTTGAGATCTTGGGCATGCACGCACATGCATCCAGTGTGAGTTTAAGCCGCGGGGTCCGGGACTCGAACAGCGGTCGACTACATGGGAGTCCAGTGACATAGCCATTATGCCAACTGCTGGTCTCAGAAAGATGAAATTTTTATATGCCCAATTCATTTTTTAAAGGATGAAAGGCCTGGGCTGGCTCTGTAGCCTAGTGGTTGAGGGAGCCAGATTCCACAGGGTGACCTTGGTTGGAGTTGTGGCCTAGGCTATGTGTGCGCACCCTAAATCTGAACAGGATGGAGAAATGGAGAAGGGTTTGTAGTGTGACCACACCCCACTGGGGGTGCTTTCTCTCTCTCTCTCTGTCTCTTCCTGGTGTGAGGATATGCCCTCTGGCAATTAAAAAAAAGAGCAAATGAAACACCTAATATGCTGTAAGTTTCCATAGAAGTATCCAGAAAAAGTTTTGAATATATATATATATATTTTTGCCAGAGGCCATGTGTGCTTGCCAGAGATAAAGAGAGAGGAGAGAAAACATCCCTTGATTTGGTGTGGTCATACCACAATGCTTTTTCCTCCATTCTTCATCCCATCAGGATTTAGGTCATGCACGTAGACTTGCCCTGTGTGTATTTCAAGCCACCAGGGCCAGGATTCAAACCTCTGTGGGCCACATGGGATCTAACTCCCTATTCATAGCCCTCAACCACTGTGCCACAGGGCTGGCCCAGAAGATGTTGGTTTTTTTCAACTTTTGCTAGAGGTCATATGTATTCATCGGAGAGAGAGAGAAGGAGAGAAAGCACCCTCCATGGGGCATGGTCATGCCACAATCCCTTTTCCATTTTTTCCCACCTGTGGGGAATTTGGGCACACATGTTCACATGTCTGGCCCTGTAGCCTAGTGCTTAAGAGAGCCAGGCTCCACAGGCTGACTTTGGTTGGAATTTTTGATCTGCCAGGTTGTGAACTCAAACTACGTGGTCAGCCATGTGGAATCCAAATGCCTTAAACACTGGGCCATGGACTGGCCCAAAGAAAATGTTTTTTAAGTTTTTTAAAATTATTTTTTATTTCACTGTATTTATTTATTTATTTAAATTTGACCAGAGAGGGAGAGCGGGAGAGAGAGAGAAAGTGAGAAAGCAAGCTGCCAGGTCTGGGGCTTGAATCACAGTCAGCCATGTCCAGTGCCCTCAACCACCACGTCACTGCTAGCCCCACTTAAGTTGTTTTTTCATTGACGTTAAGAGAGTTGAGTCTGAAGGACCTGAAGATATTAGGTATTGCTTAGCAAGGACTTTATCTTAGTTCTCCATAATATTTACAACAGATTTCTTAAACATTAAATCACGTGGTTCCAGATTATTCATTGCACAATTTGATCCATAATTCTTATGCAGTAGACTTGTATTAGCTTCCATTAGTACAGCCTAAAAAGTGAAATGGATTTGTTAATTGGATTATTTTGATTATTGGGTGAACTTCTTAGTCATAATCCCTAAATTATAACCTTTTAATAAGTAACTTCCTTTTATTCCTAGCACATAGCATTTACTCTTACTATCGGTTCAGTGGGTGAGTAAATGAAACTAGAGAATCATGCAGACTGGAATTATTCAATTCGATTGCCTTCCTTGTCTAAATTAATCAAAAAGCTTGTACATGTTCTTTGGAGAAAGAGGGGCAGTCAAGTCATTCTTTTTGTTTTAGTTTTCTTTTTTGTCCTGTGGAGTTCAAAAGAATGTGAAAAAATTGTGACTATTGACAACAGGAGTTATAGAATAACCAAAAGGTTTTCTGCCCATTTTAGTGTGATTATAAGTATTTTTCTGAAGTACACGATTTAAGCGTCATTCATTTTAGGGCCCAGAGACCACGTAGGACATTTTTATTGCCAGAATATGCAATGATTACTGAGTGGTTCTGACCACTTGCTATTAACAGAGAGTAGTCCTCTGATTCAGGCAGTTCTTCAGCTGGTTCTACGGGGACCAGGTTGTAAAAATAATCTGTCATTATTATATGATCTTTTCTTGATAGGAAGAACTAAGGTGAGATATGTCGGGAAATTTTGAATGTTATATTTAAATTTCCTGTTAATATTTCTAGTTCTTATTCTTATTTCTCTAACAGAAGCCACTTAGTCAAGGTACTGTGCGTTTTGACATTCCTTGCTGTTTCATTAAACTATGAACATAAACCACATTTATTTTTACCTATTTGCTCTAAAAAGTGTTTATTGTATTTTAAAAAATGAGGGCAATATGAACATATACTGGTTGAATTGATAAAGCTATGTATTATTGTTTTCCTATGGAAAAGAGATTGCCCTAGGTGCCGGAGATACAAAAGGAAAATGAATCCTAGCTCTTAAGGGATTTACAATATTACTGAGAAAAGAAAGAGTGCATGTGCTTGCCAGAGAGAGAGAGAAAGTAAGAAATCACCCCCAAGGGGACTGGCCACATCACAATCCTTTTTCCATTCTTCTCTTGGGATTTTGGGCATGCATGCACAATACCCCACATGAGTTTCAAGCTGCTTGGTCAGGGACTCAGACTGCTGAGTTTGCCATGTGTGAGTCTAGTGCCTTAACTACTATGCCACCTGCTGGGCCCCCTCAATATATGTTTACATCAAATGTAAAAATCTCTTAAATTCAAAAGAAAATATAGTCCAAACTAGATGTATGAAGAAAAGGAACTGTTTATACTGAAAAACAAATAAACCCATACTATTGTAAAGCAAATAAATTGTATTCAAGGAAAAATATTTTTAAGTAATATAATATGCCATGATGTCATTAAATAAAACTTATTTTTGAGAGGTTTTTGTTATAGGGTGTGTGTGCTCACCAGAAAGACAGAGAGAGACAGAAAGAAAGTGAGAAATCACCCCCCAGGGAGGATGACTGCATCGCAATCCCTTCTCCTCCATTCTCCTCTCAGGATTTTGGGCATGCATGTACATGCACCCGGCGTGAGTTTAAGCCACCAGGTCCGGGACTCGAACCACAGTTGGCTACATGGGAGTTCAGCAACATAGCCATTATGCTAATTGGTGGTCCCAAAGAAAACTTTGAGAAAACTTTTTCAGCTATCTCTAGAATGTTAGCTAATATGCTATGTATCTAGAACTAGTATTTTTTTAAAAATAATTATTTAATTTTATTTATTCATTCATATATTTTAATTTGGCCAGAGAGGGAGGGAAAGTGAGAAAGCAAGCCACTAGGTCTGGGACTCAAACCATGTTTGGCCATGTGGGAGTGTCCAGCACCTTATCCACCACGCCACCTGCTGGTCCCCTAGAACTAGTATTTTAAAAAAGAGAGAAAGAGGGATGGCTTCGTAGCCTACTGGTTAAAGGCATAGGATCCCATTTGGCTGACTGGAGTTCAAATTCTGGCTCTGGTGACTTGAAAATCATCCTGGGTATATGTTGTGTGCATGCCCAGAACCTCAAGAGGAGAATGGAAGGAAAAGGATTGCAGTGTGGCCATGCCCCTGGGTAGTGATTTCTCACTTTCTCTCTGTCTTTCTCTGTCTCTGCCTTTCTGGTGGGTGCATACCCCCTATAGAAAAAAAAAAGAAAAATGTCTTTTATAAATTAAGTTTTTAGTAGCTGTCACCAAGAATGGTACAAATCTTGACTTGTAAATGGTCTTTAATAATGTATTTGATGATGGCTGGCAGGTGGTGTGGTGGTTAAGATGCTGAACTCCCACACAGCTGATTATGGTTTGAGTTCAGACTTGGTGGCTTGTTTTCTCACATTCCTTCTCTCTCTCTGTGTGTCTCTCTCTGGTCAAATTAAAAAAAAAACTACTAATAAGTAAAGTTAAATAAATAATTATTAAAAAATATATTGGGTCATCAGAAAAGTCATGACTTTTTTTTTTTAAAGAATTATTTTATTCGACTTTATTTAAATTTGACTAGAGAGAGACAGAATGAGAGAGAGTGAGAGGGAAAGTGAGAAAGCAAGCCAGCAGGTCCGGGACTTGAACCACAGTCGGCCCTGCCCATGTAGGAGTCTAGTGCCCTTAACTACCACACCACCTACGGGCCCCTAGTCGTATTGCATTTTTGCATAGAGAAACACATCTTGACTTTCCTGATGACCTAGTATTTGATGGGATTATAATGTAAGGGAGGTGGACTTGTGATAGAATAGTTGTAACCTGCGGTTCTGTCTTCGTGGGCATAGTCAGTGCAGTAGTTAAGCATAAGTGTAACCTTAGGCAGGGTTCTTACTTTCTCTAAACCAAAGTCACTGTAAAATGGGGTAATAATAGTTGATATGTACTGAATACGTTCCAAGTACCCAGCGTGTACTATGTGCTTTACATGTGCTATCAATTTAATATCTGTAACTCTATGAAACTGACACTGTTATTATCCCCGTTTTATAGCTGAGAAAATGCAGAGCCCAGAGATATTAAGTGACTTACTAAAGATCACACAGCTAGTAAGTGTTTGAGTCAGCAGTCAGATCTAGGCAGACTGACTCCAGAGCCTGCATTCCTGAACAGTTATGAAATGCAGTTTTCATGGAGCTGTGTTAGTACCTATGTCTCCTTAGTACATATGAGAGGACAAAATAACGCACCCCGTCCACTTAGCACTGTGTGTGTACATTCCATAATAGAAACTTGGCATGAACATTATTGTATTAGTATTTCCTTATTTTAGAATGCTAACTACCCTTTGGAAACATGAATGTGAAAATTTAATATAAACAAGTGCGTCTGAGAATTTTTGAGTGCGACTTAGTTCTGTATAATCTGTTTCTTAACAAACAGATTATGTTGATATTCAAATGTGCCAGAAAGGAGACTCAGCTGTTGATACTTTGTTTTGGATTTTCTTCTTTTTTTTTTTTTTTCTCATTAACTTCATTTTGTTTTAGACTGATTCATAGCTCTTGAAAGCAGCAATGGTGAAAACATTTATTTAGTGGCCTCTTATTTCTGAATTCTCTCTTTGCTTTTCCAATCCCTGAAATAACTATCTGCACCCCCCCATATTAATTATATAGTGACTTTTTAAAATATAGGGATTTGACCTGTTTTTAAATGTTTCCTCCTCTTAAGACATTATCACTCAAGAGATGACAACCGCTGTTCAAGAACCAGAAGCCACTTTGTCTTTGGTCACTACCTTGGAGGTTACCAGAGACAACACTCAGACTGAGAAAGAAACGGAGGTGCTCTCTCCTGTGTCTGAAGCTCATGGTGTTACTCAGCTGTCCAGAAGATGGGAGACTCTGGCCACTACAGTTTCTACGACAGCCATGCCATTGTCTTTGGAAGTTACTCCTGCAATGGAAGGTCTGTAAGGAAGGGAAGGGACTTGCTGTTTTGAGGGTAGATTTTTTTTTTTTTTGGAGGGTTTTTTTTGCTATAGGGCATGTGCGCTCGCCAGACAGACAGAGAGAGATGGAGAGACAGAAAGTGAGAAATCACCCCCCAGGGGGGATGGCCATGCCGCAGTCCCTTCTCCTCTTGGGATTTTGGGCATGCATGCACACACACCTGGCTGGAGTTTAAGCCACCAGGTCCGGGATTCAAACCATGGTCGACTACATGGGAGTCCAGCGACACAGCCATTATGCCAACTACTGGTCCCGAGGGTAGATCTTTTCTGTAAGTTGATAAGGAATTGAATGAATGAGGCAGCTGGCCCTGTCACCAGAGCGTGCACACACACACACACACACACACACACACACACACACACACACAGCCTCCCTGTAAGTGAATGCTCTTGTTTGGAGAGGTGTGACACAGCCTGAAAGGATGAGGGATTAGTTCCCAAGTAGAATCTCCTCATCTCGGGGTCCTGCACAGGCCAGACCTTCTGAGAAAGCTCTCACTGTTTGGCAGCTCTGTTGCTAGGAGCCAGTGGATGAGCTGAAAGCCTCAAAGACCTGGGTTCAAATCCCAGCTTTGGCCTTCCCTAGGATTGTGGCTCAAGCAAGCTTCCTAACTTCTGTAAGTCTTTGGTCATCTCAACATAATGCCTACCTGTCATCTAGGTTGTTTTAAGGCTATGAAATAACATCTACAAAGTGATTTCTATAGAGGTGGCTCTCCAGTGCTCTGTTCTCAAGGGCAACAAAATTTCAAATTTCTGTGATCATTAGAATCTCCTGGGAACTTAAATTATTTGGAGAGAGGGCCTCATGTCTCTGTCTCATTGTTGATCCAGGTAAGGCCCACTTTAATGTATTTATTAGTTATTTTTATTTTTAAAATTTGCTGTAGGGCATGTGCATTCATCAGAGAAAGACAGAGAGAGGAGAGAGGGAAAATGAGAAAAATGAGAAAGCATCCCCCTAAGGTAGATGGCCATGCTATAATGGCCTCCTCTTCCATTTTCCTCTTAGGATTTTGGCACATACACACATGTGCCTTATGTAGTTTCCAAGTTGCTGGGTTCAGGACCCAGATCATGCAGTGGACTGTGTGGTATCCAGCTGCCTTAACTTATCATGGCCCAACTGAGCTATGCTTAGCAATAAATAAATATCTTCTAATTCTCCCTCCCTTTTCACTTCTTCTCCAAAATAAAAAAATTAGGGCCTTATTACTAACCTATACGAAACCTGATGACCCTTCACATCTTATCCCCTTCCTCCTGTTACTGGTAAGCATCATCCTGACTCTTTTTTTTTTTTTTTTAAGAGGTTTTTGCTATAGGGCGTATGTGCTTGCCAGACAGACAGAGAGAGACAGAGAGACAGAAAGTGAGAAATCACCCCCTAGGGGGGATGGCCACGCTGCAATCCCTTCTCCTCCATTCTCCTTTGGGATCTTGGGCATACACGCACATGCACCCGGTGTGAGTTTTAAGCCACCGGGTCCGGGATGTGAACCGTGGTTGACTACATGGGAGTCCAGTGACATAGCCATTACGCTAACTGCTGGTCCCCTGACTCTTTTTTTGAAATTTTTATTTTTTTATTTTCTTGTATCAATATTTATTCCTAAAGGTGTACATTTTAAGTTTTGGTTGTTTTTAACTTTATTAAGAAGCATTGTGGGGCCAGCAGGTGGTGTGGTGGTTAAGTTATTGGACTCCCACATGGCCAGCTGTTGTTTGAGTCCTGGACCTGGTGGTTTGCTTTCTCTCCTTCTCTCTCTGTTTCTCTGGTGAGCACATGTGCCTTGTAGCAAATTTAAAAATTATCATAATTATAAATAATTATTTTAAAAAAGGGTATTGTAATGTAGCTAGCCTTTCTGTTTTTTTTTTAAACTTAATAATCTATGACTAAGATTTACTTATTGAATTTCTTTTGCTCTGTCCACTCTATATTACCTTATTGTGAAAATATATCATAGTGTATTCATCCAATTGTCATATGTTCACCTGATGACTTTGGGTCATCTTCAGGTTTGGCTGTTGTGAACGTTGTTGCTATAAATGTTCTGGTACATGTTCTCCTATGTATGCATGCAGGAGTTTCTCATGGATACATACCTAGGAGTAGAGTTGCCAGGTCATAAGGTATACGAATGTTTTCTAAAGTGGTTTCACCAATTCATATTCCCACCAAAAATGTATAAGAGATTCTTTGGATCTGTATTCTGGGAGCTTCTAAAAATACAGGTTCTCAGCCTTCGCAGCTGAAAGATTGTGATTCAGAAAGCTGAGATGTGTGGAAATCATGAAAGTCTACATTTTAAAAATTGTCTCAAGAGATTCTTTTGGTCAACCAGGTTTTCAAGCTACTTCTATGTTGAAGTCTTCACAGTCTTGGGAATACCTGGGGCTATATTTGGTTGCTTAGAAATTGAGCCTATTCCAGGCATATGGCTAGGCTCTTTGACTTGATTTTGAGAAAGGCTCTTGTTTTTTCATGGTAGCCTTAGGCATATATTTTTGTGAAATCTTTTGCCTTTGGTCATATATTGTATGAAATACTGCAGCATCCATAGTATTGTCAATAGAGTAGACAGGAGATTAAAATTTAAAAACAAAGTTCTGATTTGAGACAGTATGCTTTCCTGGAAGATGAAGTGTTTGCTTTGGGTGGCTGGATTGATGCACTATGGGAAAGGAGAGCTGATTCAGTGCCAGACTTACTGTATGTGAGATTCTGGTTCTGTGAATCATTTCTTATCTAAAAAATGAAAGTAAATGCTTACATTGCTCATACTGATCATCCTGTGGGTCAAGTGCTGTGTTTTGTGTTTGGCAGACCTAACGGATACAATCACAGGTCCAGATGAAGAGTTCACATCAGTTTGGGGCTCTCCGGTGACACCCCCTGGAATAATGGCGGAGGCGCCCAGCAGTTCTCCAGCACTTCTTGTTTCTGAGACACCATCTGAGAGAACTGTTGTTCCATCCATCACTCGCGTTAATACAGCTGCCACATATGGCCTGGACCAACCCGAATCTGAAGGTATCCATGCTTTAAAGGGGATCTTTTCTAGGACTGACTGAGTGAGTCACTGAGCTGATATTTTTGAGAATACCTTAAGTAGAACTGTGTTCATTCTGCATATAGATCAGGGGTCAGTAAACTGTAACCCAGCCAAATCTGGCCTGCTACCTATTTGTATATGGATTGTAAACTAAGAATAGTTTTTTTTAACAGTTTCAAATGATTGAAAAAAATTGAAAGAAGAATATTATTTTGCAACATGTTAACAGTTACATAAATTCAGATTTCAGTGTTCACAAAGGAAGCTGTATCAAAAACACAGCCACACTCATTCCTGTACAAATTATCTCTGGCTGCTTTTATGTCAGAGCAACAGAATTGAGAAGTCATGATAGAGACTAAATGGCTCACAAAGCCTAAAACAGTATGATATGGCCCTTTACAAAACAAATTCGCTGACCCCTGGTCTATATCAGTGGTTCTCAACTACAGTTGAACATTAAAATTACGTTGGAAGGCTTTTAAAACACCACAGTGCCTGGGAACCAGCAGTTAGCGTAATGGCTATGTCGCTGGACTCCTACGTAGTTGACCGCGGTTCACGTCCCGGACCCGGTGGCTTAAAACTCACGCCGGGTGTGTGTGCGTGCGTGCCCAAGATCCCGAGAGGAGAATGGAGGAGAAGGGATTGCGGTGTGACCATCCCCCCTGGGGGGTGATTTCTTGCTTTCTGTCTCTATGTCTCTCTCTGTCTGTCTGGCGAGCACACATGCCCTATAGCGAAAAAAAAAAAAACCAAAACGAAAAAAAACCAAAACTCTCCAAAAAACCACAGTGCCTGAGTTCCTCTCCCAGCACTCAGATTAAGATGGTATATGGTGGGATCTAGCATCAGCACTTTGCATGGGGTAGGATCTGACATCAGGACTTTCAAAGAGTATCTTAGATGATTTCAGTGTTCAGGATGGATTGAGAATACTAAGTCTAAATGGAGAAGTTGAATTTCCCTGCCTGATTTTCTTGAATGCAAGTTTTTTAGTTTTGCTGAAGGGTGTGTGTGCTCACCAGAGACAGAGAAAAACAGAGAGAGAGAGAGAGAAGAAAAGTGAGAAATCATCCCCCAGAGGGGGATGGCTATGCCGCATCATTTCTCCATTCTCCTCTCAGTATTTTGGGTACGCATGTACATGTCTCTGGTGTGATTTTCAGCCACCAGGTCTGGAACTTGAAGTTTTTTAGTTTTGCTGAAGGGTATGTGTGCTCACCAGAGACAGAGAAAAACAGAGAGAGAGAGAGAGAAGAAAAGTGAGAAATCATCCCCCAGAGGGGGATGGCTATGCCGCATCATTTCTCCATTCTCCTCTCAGTATTTTGGGTACGCATGTACATGTCTCTGGTGTGATTTTCAGCCACCAGGTCTGGAACTTGAACTGCTAAATTGGTCATGTTGAATGGAAGTTTGAATGTGCACAATAGTCTAATAGCTGTGCTCTGTTTGTGCATGTTGGGTGAGTTTCCCTTAGTGACATCTCTGGGTTAGCATGTTTCGTTATTTGGAAGTAGGCAGTCTCTACCTAGTAAAAAATTTATTCCAAATTGTACTTTCTAAGACATTGGCTTTAAGTATGGAAAAGAAACTTGGAGCATAACTGCACATAAATAGAAAATTAGAAATATGACCCAGGTTCATATAATTCATCAGCATTTTGGCAGATGAATAGTTCCTGGCTGGAGGTGCAAAATGTTCAGAGATTTGTAGTGTAGCGTTTCTTATATTAATCTGGATCCCAGATAAGCTTTTGGGCACTAAATTAATCATGTGTCTAATGCAATAACAAATCAGAATAGGGACCAGCAGGTGGCATGATGGTTAAGGTGCCATACTCCCATATGGCTGACTGCGGTTTGAGTCCTGGACCTGGCAGCTTGAATATCATATCCGGCATATGTATGTGTGTGTGCCCAAAATCCCAGGAGGAGAATGGAGGAGAAGGGATTTCAGCATGGCCATCCACCTCGGGGAGGGGGGTGATTTCTTACTTTTTGTTTCACTGTCTCTGTCCCTCTCCAGTGAGCGCATGTGCCCTATGGCAAAAACCTTAAAAAAAAAAAAAAAACTCAAGATACACTGTAATTTTTTTTTTTTTTGGAGAGGTTTTCACTATAGGGCGCGTGCGCTCACCAGACAGACAGAGAGGGACATAGAGACAGAAAGCAAGAAATCACCCCCCAGGGGGGATGGTCACGCCGCAATCCCTTCTCCTCCATTCTCCTCTCAGGATCTTGGGCATGCACGCACATGCACCTGGTGTGAGTTTTAAGCCACCGGGTCTGGGACGCGAACCATGGTTGACTACGTGGGAGTCCAGCGACATAGCCATTACGCCAACTGCTGGTCCCAAGATACACTGTAATTTTATATTTCATCCGCTCTTCAAGGAAGATGGTCATCTTGGTTGGTAAACTTTCAGGATGACACTGGGAGTCTGTTGACAGAGAAACAGGAAATTTTAGGAGGAGAGTGGAGAATTCCACAGAATGTTGGTTTACCAAATGAATCAGGGCAGGCTCAGAGGCCAGCAGCTCTTGCACGCCACGTGAAGATACACATTACGTGACTTTGAGTTTTGTGTCTTGTCTTAATTTTCTGCTCTCCTTGACGCCATCTGGAAAAAGCAGGTTTCCTCAAATTAACCTAAGTTAGCGATGACAGCTTTACCAGACAGGGCTCATTAAATCAGAGGACAAAATTGTATTTGTGAATAATCCATACTTGTGAAACTGCAATAATTTTCTATATTTAGTAGATGATGGCAGTCGTATTGAAACATGTTAGAATTTTCCCGATATGCCTAAGACATCCTGGAGTTTTAGTTTTCTTCTACATGATTCAATTTTAGCTTCTTTTTGAGAATATATTTTGTCAGTTTTTGATCTACATTATGATCCTTGTCAAGGTTTATGAAAGACATTTTTGGTTAAAAATATTATCTCTGCTACATTTTGGGTTTAAGTCAAGATTTTGAATTAGTACACTGTTGCTTCTAAACACCCGGAGGTACAACATATGTTTAATTAGTATTAGAGATCTTCAAAAAGTTAATGGGAAATGAGTATCATAAAAAGATTATGCATGGGTTTCAATTTTTTTTGTGCACCAAAATAAACTCATGCTTTAATTCCATTTTCCCATGAACATTTTCAAGTCCCCATGCGTTAATAATGTCATAATTAGTTTTATACTTGGGTAGCTATTCCTCTGAAAGCTAAATTGATTACACTGTTTTTTTTTTTTTTGAGAGATTTTCACTGTAGGGCGCGTGCGCTCGCCAGACAGACAGAGAGAGACATAGAGACAGAAAGCGAGAAATCACCCCCCAGGGGGGATGGTCACGCCGCAGTCCCTTCTCCTTCATTCTCCTCTCGGGATCTTGGGCACGCACGCACACGCGTCCGGCGTGAGTTTTAAGCCACCGGGTCCGGGACACGAACCGCGGTCGACTACGTGGGAGTCCAGCGACATAGCCATTACGCTAACTGCTGGTTCCCCAATTACACTTTTTTAAACTGACAAATCTGCTAAACTCAGGCAGCCATTGCCTAATGGTTAAAGGAACTGGATTCCACATGGTCAACCACAGTTTGTATCCCAGCCCTGGCAGCTTCAGAAACTTGTCGGGTATATGTGTGTGCATGCATGTCCCAGATCCCAAAAGGAGGGAGAAATGGAGGAGGATGTGATGTGACCACACCCGGTTGGGGGATGTTTTCTCCCTTTCCCTTTCTTTCTGTCTGCCTATCTGGTGAGTGCACATACCCTCTGCAAATTGACCCAACAACAAAAAAAACGTACTAGATTCCTGGATGTATTAAGAGGCCTTTATTTATTTTTTTAAAAGAATTATTTTATTTAACATTATTTATTTTATTTATTTAAAAAATTTGACCAGAGAGGAACAGAGCGAGAGAGAAAGTGAGAAAGCAAGCCACTAGGTTTGGGAGTCCAGTGTCCTTAACCACCACGCCATCTGCTGGCCCAAGAGGCCTTCATTTTTTATTTGTTTGTTTATTTATTTATTTATTTTTACATTTTCCCACGAACATTTACTTTACATATCAAAAAATTTTTGCTCATACTCCATAGTTCTTGACAGTTAATAAACAACTTTCAAAATTTCAAAATACTGAATTTTAAAAATAATGTTCAAAGTATTTCTTATAGTTTTGTATAATTTTGTTTGTGACTCTATAACAACAGAGACAGTATGGTTTTAAATATTTTTGAGAAAATATTTAGATGCCAACTACTTGAATTGTTGAAAAGCAAATACTCAGCACACAAGTCACACATAAACCTTCTCAATTCAGCCCTGCCTACCAAGTATTCTGTGATATACCATCTGCTAGCAAAGATCAGTCTCTTTTTCTTCCTTCAAAGTCTTTCTCAAGATTTTTAATGAATGTTTTTTCACCTTGCCTGCCAATGTAAGTGCAGTTTGAGGCTTTGAATGAGTGAAGCATTTCAATTTTACCATAGGATTAAACCTAGAGTGAGATAATTTATTCTGTCTAGAACACTGCATTAGTTATGTCAAGTTATCTGCCTTTCAAGTTTTAATCTCTGTGATGGGTTGACAAATGACATACTATTCTCTAGTTTATGATGCATGTTTCTTGAATGATATCATTGAACTTTTTGTATGCTTTTTAAATATCTTCCTTCCTTTAAGGGTGGGGATGGGAGGAGCATTTCTCCCCACTGAGATATGTTTTTCTCCCTGGGATATAGAAAGGTACAGAAAGAAGCTTTGTGGAAATTTCTGAATTCACTGCCCTATTTATCCTTTAAGAGATAATTAACAGGCCTAATCAGTCTAAAAACGGTATCTACTCAGCACTGTCTTCTTTCCTTTTCTCGTTTCTATGATGTGGTGACTAAGAGGGTGTTTTAGTTTTCTAGGGCTGCCATACAGATACCATGAATTAAATGGCTTGAAGCAATAGAAATATATTCATGT